TCCGCATCCATACTCCTCCCATACTTCCCCATACTTTTCCCATACTTTTTTAAAACTTTGAAACTTGAGAAATTTGATGAAAAAACTTTTTTAAAAAAAATAAATTCCTTTTTTTAAAAAGGTTTTTGCCAAAAGTTTAAAATTTTAGAAAAAAAAAATTTGGAAAAATTTAAAAAGTTTTTCCTCTTATACTCCTATATTTTCCCCATACTTTTTCAAAACTTGGAAATTTGAGAGAAAATACTAAGTTTTTAAAAAAAAATAATTTCCTTTTTTCTAAAGGTACTTAGCGAAAAGTTTGAAACTTTAAATCAAAATCAATTAAAAATCCAATAATTATCCAAAATTTTCAATGTAAAATTTAATTATTTACCAAGTTTTCAATTTAAAATGAATTAAAATTCAATTATTTTCTAAAATTTCTATTCAAAATTAATTATCCAAATTTTCAATCAAAAATGAACTTAAATTAAATTATTATCCACAATTTCAATTAAAATTCAATTATTTCCCAAAATTTTCAATTCAAAATGAACTGAAATTCAATTATTTTCCAAATTTAAATTCAAATAAAATTTCATTATTCTCAAAAATTTGAATTCAAAATTAATAGAATTTTCAATAATTTGAATTTAAAAGCATCTAAAATTTATTTATTTTTAAAATTTTCCATCGAAAATTTTTTTTTTGAAATTTAATAATTTCAATTATAACTCTAAGGAAATTCAATTATTTTTAACTATTTTTAATAATATTCTTTCAAATTTCAACTATCTGAAACCATTTTTTAATTAAAAATGATTTTCAAATTATTGTATTTTGTCCGCATTTTCTAATAAATTTTTAGTGAAATCATCTAAAATTTTGATTACAAAACACTTAAAAGTTTCAATTAGTTTCAAAAATCTCAATTTTAAATCTATGCGTTTCTTTCGCCACCTGTCGGAACGTACAGAGTACTACCGCTGAACTTGCAACAACTCCCAGCCCCATTTTAGTCAAGCACATGCATGGGAGATTGGCCTCCTGTAGTCTATTCTCCATGTTTATTCGATTCGTTCAAAATGTGGTACACGGGGATTTTTGGGGTCGCTGAATCCAAATTTGATGTCAGATTTAAAAAATTCAAAATGGCGGGCCCAATACGGCGGAAAATTATTAAATTGACTCGATTCGTTCAACAATCGGTACACGGGGGTTTTTGAACAAATCGAATCAATTTTAAAATTTTTCGCCATACTGGGCCCGCCATTTTTAATTTTTTAAATCTGACCTCAAATTTGAATTTAGCGACTCCAAAAACCCTATAACGGAACCATCAAAAAAATTTTATAAATTTTTATAATTGTTAAAAAAGCCATTAGGCCAAATAAAATATCACCATCTTATAATTCTAAGGGAATCTCGACTCATGGAATTAACTTCATTAGTAAAACTGATGAGGTCGTGACCAGTGTCCTCTTATGCGACCATATAATTCTGGTCAAAATAAAAAAATTATTATAAAACTATTAATATAAAGATTTCCTTTAATTGTTATGTAATATATTTTTTTACAATTTTTCCAATGCGCTTGATATATTGTTTCTTCTTTTTTATAATGAATTCTTGTTTAATGAAATTAATTGTCCTTTAATTTTTCTTAAAGTATACCAGGTGAAAAGTATGCTTTTATCGACTCTCGTAAAACTTGAATTTTCTCACGATTATCCGTAAACGGTAAGGTCGATTTGGCACGTTCCATTTCCGGATTCAGTAGAATCCAGACAAACTCATTTTTATGATGTAATATATAAAAGAAAGAAAAATTAATTAAAGTACGCTGTAATCGTTCTTCGGTTAAAAGAAATATGAAATGAAACCTATGTATTTTCTAAATTCATTACTTTCCCATATCTTTGAATTAGCGTTATTACTTGAATATTATTTTATGTTTCATACCTATAATATTATATAACTGTCGTAAAACATTTTACTAAATTTATATAATATACGATATATAAAATAATCATACATTATTTTTTTTCACAAAAAAATCAATTTACGGATAATAGAGATCTTTATATGTAGAGTAGAAGCACGTTACTCGGGGATTTTTGGTGTCGCTGATTACAAATCTGATATTAGTTTTTCAAATTTCAAAAAATAATTATGTCCTCTTCCACATCACCCATGAGGTGGAACATTAGACGCGCTCCTTAACGTGCTTCCCCATTGCACAGTTTATTCAATTACAAATTGAAATTAATTTTTTTCAATATGTAATTAAGGTCAATATGTGCATTAGGCCTATCCACACCTCAGAACAAAATATATTACAGAAATAGTTGAAAGATTTTCAATATTGCCAAAATATTTTTGTACTGTGGGAGACCTGAAAGAAAAACATATTTATTACGATTTATTATTAAAACCTGAAATATAAAAATTATTATTAGTAACCTTAAACGCAGAAAAACATTGATTAGTAAAACACAAAAAAATGTATTATTAGTAACCAGTAAGAAAAAGACATTCATTAATAAAACATGTAAGAAAAAACATTAATCATTATAACATGTAAAAAAAATTAATTATTAGTAACCAGTAAGAAAAACACATTCATTAGTAAAATATGTAAGAAAAGAACATTCATTATTAAAACATGTGATGAATTGTAAAATTGTTAAAAAATATTTTTTTCATTTTTTTTTTTGAACCTAAAATCATATTTCATTATGAAAAATAAGTAATTTTTAACAATTTTACAAGTTTTTTTAATTTTCAAAAATGCAAAAAATGCTGCGCGCGGTGTTTAAATGTTTATTTAAACCTATAAAACTTATCCGCCCACTATAAATTTTTTTGCAAAATCTTCTTAGTATTTCCAGGTATGTTTAAAAAAAATTAAAAAAATATCATATCCAAATTAAAAAATACTTAATTTGTTTAGAAAAAATTGATATTTTTTTAATAAAAAATGAAAAAAAAAATTTTTTGTTAACATTATTGGCGATTCAAACAGCTACACTAGCGCCACAGTTGAACTAACGTAAGCGTGACTCGCTCTAAAGCAGTCTCTGTTTTGACAGTTTATTTCAAATTATTTAATTATTCTGATATTTTTATTGCGTTTGTAAAATAATTTTTAAGCGTTAAATAAAAAAATAATTTAAAACACATGGAGTGCTACAGAGCGAGCCACGCTTAAGTTAGTTCAACTGTGGCGCTAGTGTAGCTGTTTCAATCGCCAATTGTAAAGTAAAAGAAAAACTGAAACTTTTATTTTCTTATCAAAAATTGAAAAAATCCATTTTTTTCGAGTTATCAGCCATTGAAAACAGGTCTACATTGAAGAAACTGAAATTTTAAAAATTCATAACTCGAAAATTTTTCAAAAAAATAAATAAATACGTATATCTTTTTTTTCACTACAGAACAAGAAAAAATATATTTGGCCGAATTTAAAGGGTCAACGGAAATCTCACGTGATTTTGCCCATATATAATACATTCCACTCAAATGCAGATTTTAAGCCTAGTTTTACTTTTTTTCATAAAATTTAAAAATTACATACTAGTTTTTAAATTTTACTTTATTTTTGTATAATGTACTATATTATATTTCGATACAAAAAATAATCTTTCAGTGTTGATAAATGTAAATGTAATTTTTGTTTGAATTATTCAAAGATCTTTCGCGGTCATTTTGTTATTTAAAATTTACACTTACGGGGGCCCTAAGCACTTAGCTCTTTTGAAATTTAGAATAAAAAATTAGACAACTTCATATCAAAAACTGACGAAAATTTTATTACAACGTATAATAAAACACTTTTTAAAACAAATGTATTTTGTGTACCTTTAATTCAATATATATTTAAATTAATAATACTGTTTTTAACAGCAGTAAACTTGTATTTTTACAAGATTACCTAGGAGCGAGAAAAATTAAAATTCTGCCTATGTGAAAAATTCCGAAAAAATTATTATTTATTATTAACAAATTCTATTACAAATTATGTAAAAAACACAATGAATATTAGCGAAAAGAATTGAGTAATTTGCAATTGTGTCATATTAAAGTCCAAAAAATATATTAAAAGTAAGATCTTTTTTTATATAAAAAATCAGTCTTTTCAGATTATAAACGAAATACAGAATGGGCCTCTTACCCGCTTCATTGTCTTTGACAAAGATATTTTTCACTATATAACCAAAACGAAAAATAAAGTGTAAGCATTTGAATAACACTAATTTATTATTATTAATTTATAATCGATGGAATTATAATTAAAATAAACTATTTTCATGTTAATACTGATGCGCCATGTTGATTTTCTGAAACCAGCTGTTCAACATAGTCATGGCAGGGCTGAGCTATCTTGGTGCGTAAGCTTTGAAATAGTTATTCTTTACCAATGTAGATGGCATTATAGGGTTAATGTTCTCTTTGCTGAATTATGATAAGGAGAAATGAGATTATAAAAAGAAGAATAATACAAATTGCATTGCGATTAATCGAGAACCAGAAGTCTGTATAGAAAAATGCAAACAATTTTAATTATATTGAAAAAATTGATGTTTTTGTTTATTTATTTTGAAATAAATGATTGAAATGAGTGCGTGACATCATTGCAATTAAAAATTCGAAAAAAAATTAAGCCTTACAAAAATTTGGGAGCCCTTGTCAAAACGGGGCCTTAAGCAGCTACTTATTTTGCATGCATTTATAAATTCGGCCCTGTATTTTTGAATATGTATATTTTAATTTTTCTGATGAATTTGTAACAGATTTACTAAAATTTCTAATTTCTATTCTATTTATAGAAATTTCTTATATATATTTTTTTCAGTTATAAAAATATTATTTAAGTATAGTTAAAACTAAAATTGACTGTTAAAAGCTTATAAAATTCTTAGTACATCAACTGATATGTGTCTAACATTTACTAATGGGAAAAATTAAATTTTTTATGTCTCGACAGAGTGTTAATTAGTCTCAGAAGTTGAAGTATTTTTAAACAATTTTACTACCTCTAAACACTGTTATTCCAAGAGCGAAACAATGAACAGGTAATTATTTTCAAAATGTTATCTGTGTATTAGTAGGGTGATTAGTAATACGCGTTCAATATTTAGCCAAACCGATTTAAATTAAATTTGTGGGGGGACTCTCAATTTATTTTGAAAACTTTCTTGTAGATTTCGAGATGAAAGAAATAGGTTTTTTGAAAAAATTCTTAGTGGGTGGGTATTGTTTGCCAGCCATTTTGGAAATTTTTGCAACTTCTCAATGTAAACAGAAAGAATTAACAAAAAGCATACTTCCGTTTTATGAAAGAATTTGATTGGTCGTCTACAGAAGAAATTCCCTAGAAATCAACAGGTTTTAAAAAAATGTGAATTAAAAACAGAAAGTTTTTAATTTTCAAAAATTATCAAAAATAAATAAGTGGTTAAAAAAGTGTATTAAAAAAAGTGCCCTAGTAGAAATTTGTCCTAGCTATTTTAAAGGAACTGCCTAGTCGCGCTGGAGTCTGTCTAGTTACTTGACTGACCAGCTAGCTAAAAACTCGAATGTCATGTCACGCTTTTTTCATCAAGTTATTATCCAGCCCAACTTGATAATTATTTATCAATAGGACTTTTGAAAAACTAGTCAAATTAATTCTTTTAAATATTTCGAAATTCATTTAATAATAAGATTTAATGTAGTAAACACGTTTATTTTATGTAATTAAAAAAAATATTCCAATTATCAACAAAAATTATTATAAGAAAATATATTGCACTAAATATAGTAATTCGTTATAAAAATGTAATTTTTCATTCACAATTAAACTGGATTTAAAAAAAAAATTTACATAAGTAAAACGATTGAAGCAACATCTTGACCTGAACTGTTAACAACACTGAAACAATTATAATTTTTATATTAATATGAATGTCATAACATAAACCTTAAAACACTTCTCGCAGTTTCAACGAAAAAATCTTGGGGCTACCGGGGAGCGAACACGGGTCCGCTGGGCGGGAACGAAAGAAACGCACGCTTTACGCAACTCGGCCGTTCTGATCAGTGATATTAGAATAAATGCTTGACGTATTTCACTGTACCTAATAATATTATGAATTTGTGCATATTATTTTTATTATTTTCTAGGCAAATAAACATTTTAGATGTTTATTTGATTTTAAATGATTTACTTATAATTTAATTTAAACATTAGACAATTATAAAAAACTAATTACTAATTTTTTTTATTTATTATCCTCAAAAATTATATGTAAAATTTTATAAATAAAATTATTTTAATAAATTAATAATTATTGATATAATATAATATTATTATTATTATTATTATTATTATTATTATTATTATTATTATTATTATTATTATTATTATTATATTATTATAATATACTCAAACAGAAAAATAATATTCTACTATATTTGTAAAATTTGTCTGAAAATAATAATAATTGTTTAATCATTTTTTTTTAAAAACTAAAAACACTTTTTATTCAAGGTAATATTATTTTCATAATAATTTAATTTATTGCAATTATTTTATTATAATTTAATAAATTTTATTATTTTAAAAAAGCGCGCGCTATTTTGTCTTGGGCCAATCAAGTGATTTCAACTAAATATAGGTTATGTTCGTTTCTGATTCATGACAGCTGGCAAACATTTACAACAAATAATATTTTGCAAGTGTATATTTATTGCAATAAGATAAGTTATGCAAAAAATATATATGTGGAACAATAATTTACAGTGATTTTCATAAAATGAATATTGATTTAGATGCTCTGGAAAGCAAAGTTCATTTTTTCTTAAATTCAATTTTTTCGACCACCGAGATATTTCGATACATTTTCATGTGTTTTGTATGCACTGTCTTTTTTTGAGAAAGGAATATTAATATTATTATTATTAATTTTTATAAACAAGTTGTAATTTTTTTAAATCAAGCAAGCGAAATGTCAATACACAAAATCCTAGCATAGCTGTCCAGTTACTAGACTTATTGAAGCGCCACCGCCATGACAAGGATATGAATTTAATTTCGAGCAGCACTGGACAGTGCCATTAAAAAAACTGGATAGCTTTGAGTCGTGGAATTATCAAGTTCAACTTGAATTTCTTTCAAAAAGCACTGATCAGTAACTTCACAGTTATTTATCAGTTCAGCTAGAATCAGCGTCCGCGAGAAAAACTGTCAAGTAACTTGAGTCAATCTAGTGCATCCACGACAAATTTCTACTAGGGTGAAAGAAAATTTTGGAAGTGAAAAGAAACTTGTTCTGAGGTAAGTAGAAAAAAAATAACAACATTTGTCAGGTTAAGTAGGGTTAACTTGTTTGTTTACTTTTTTTATTTTACAGTTATTGTATTCAAATTGTTAATATTTAAATGTAATGGAAAAAACTTAACTACTAAAAAGTAAAAATAATAAATTATAAGTCATTTTTCTTAAAACTATTAAAAATTGTTTAAAAAAAAATTAGACAATAAATTTTTTTTAAATTGTCCGTCAACAGCTGTTATCTGGTGACGTGTTTCGTTAAACAACAAATTTTTTTTTCCTTTATAAAATTTTTTTTTCAAGAAATTATGTTTATTATTATCAGAAAAAGTAATAATTAGTTAATTAATTATTTAATTTTGCTTTCTATTTTAGCCAATATTCAATTTAAATAAATAAATTGATAAGTCTTAAAAAAAGTCATCAGTATTTTTTTTAAATGATATTAATTTATACTACAGTCGAATCTCCCATAAGTTAATTTTCCCCTATCACGTACCCCCTCTACCTAAAAAAAACTTTAGTCATTACACATGCGCATAGACTATTTTAAATGTACACAAATATGTTGAATTTGACAAACTGTCAAAAAAGATTTTTTAATTGAAAAAAATTTAATTAAAAAAAATACTAATTTAAAAATTTTTTCTTAAATGGGAGGATATTTCTTTAAAAGAATTACAGAAGGAGCATTGTGATAATCCCGATCACAACAATAACTGTGATCTAATTCTAGAACCTCAAAATAAAAAATCAAGGTTTTTATAAAATTAAAAACAATAAGATAACTTGATAAAAATTAAAGTTTTATGTTTTATGTATGTCTACGATGTTTAACAATGTTCTTCTAAAACGTGTAATTAACATCTTGTTCCACTACCTAGAATAAAAACATTCGATTCATGTTTAAAAGAATTTTCTTTTAATTTAATTGAATTTTGATTTTTTTAATTTAATTTAATTATTAAATAATTGTTTCACTGATGTAGCTGCATCATTTACGAATATTAATTCCTTAATAATATTTCCAATTAACTCAAATAATATTTTATCATGAATAAAATTCTGTCCATGATTTATAAAATTAATAAAAGTAGTTAAAAGAATAATACAAGTATGTACCGACAATGTTTTTCACAGTCAACTAAACTTATATTAAATTAAATATTCAAACATTTCTAATAACTCATTTACTTCACAAGACTTCAAACATATATTTTGAAATTGACCGCCATGCGCAATAGGTCACTGCGCAACTATTTCTCCTTACGCGGCAATTCTCTCATAATGGCGCACTCACACCTTTTTTGGCTGCCTGCCTGCCTACAGGTTACCATGGCAACGCACGGGTGTGAGTGAGACAGAAAATTTGAATATTCAAATTTTTAAATTTTCTGTCGCACTCACTCTCATGCGTTGCCATGGTAACCTGCAGGCAGTCAAAAAGGTGTGAGAGCGCCTTAAGTTAACCCCCCACCAGAATTAACTTATGGGAGATTCGACTGTACTCAAAAAAATGCTCGTCAACAGCTGCCATCTTGTGGCGCTTATCATTAAACAACACAAATTTTATTATTATCCTTAACAAAAAATGTTTTTTTCGTCAAATTTTTTCACTAAATGTAATAAATATTCTAGTTTTATTTGATTAATTAAATTAAATTAATAATTAATTTTATTTTCTATTTTATCTAATATGTAATTGAATAAAATAAATTGGTACGTGATAAAAAAAATCAGAAGTATTTTTTTCTAAAATTAATTTAATTTCAAATTCTCAAAAAAAATGCTCCCCAACAGCTGCCATCTTGTGTCGCTTCTCATTAAACAATACAAATTCCGGTATAACTCTAAACAAAAAAATTTTTTTTCAGTTAAATTTTTCCCCCTTAAAAGTAATAAATATTCCAGTTTTATTTGATTAATAAAATTAATTATAAAATCAATTTTTAAATTGACTTCAGAATAAATTTCTTTTGCTATGTGCAAAAAAATTGTAATAATTCAGTAAAAAAAAGTAATTAAGTAAGTAATTAAATAAAAATAATAATTAATTTTTTTTCTATTTTATCTAATATGTAATTGAACAAAATAAATTGGTACGTGATAAAAAAAATCAGCAGTATTTTTTTCTAAAATTAATTTAATTTTAAATTCATTTTTCTACTGAAAAAATTAAATTTTTTTTCAAAAACTAAAAATTGTAAATTTGTTTATAATTGAAAACTAGACGCGAGGCCTAACGAAAACTTTTTTTAATCTCTTTAGAATGCATCACTTAATTTAAAATGTAGAATAAATAATTTCACCTGTTTCCACTTTTGCATGCTTCTCGCACTTTCAGGACTTAACAAATTGAGCCAGTTGGAAATACAACTCCACAATCTCAAATTGTAATGTTTCGAATTTTCATCTCTGAAATTTTTCTGTAGAAGGCTAAGATGACTTTCAAGAAATTTAACGAATTTATTTTGTTGAGAAACGGTGATTTTTCTAATACGCCTATTAACATTATTTTCATCCACTACAAAAATATAAAAATTTATAAAATATCATAATAAATATTAATAACTAAAGAATAATTGATGATAACAAATTACTTACTGTTTAATAACTTTTCAAGTTTTATTTCGTTATGTCACAAAAAAAAATGAGCATCGGTTTTGATAAAAAAAATTTTAAAATCTATCTCTCTTGATAAAAAAAACTAAGATGAATTTTTAAAAAAATTTAATTTGTGATGAAAAGCGCTCACAGATG